AGTGCGAGGAAAATGATTTTTCCAAAGCACTCTAGACTTCAACAGTTGTAGAGAGTCCAACATCATGTGCTAGAATTCCCTTAGTTAGAGATGCTACGAACCAACTTAGATCAAGTTGATCCAATTGTACCTAAGTAGAGAAAGTTGCGTTAGGAATTTTCATACTGTTATCAATATGATCATGGATCTCTTCCAGAGGAGGTTTAGCCAACCAATCAATTAATCCCATTAACCTGTGAGCTTGAACTACTAGTAATAGTTGAAAATTTTCTCCATTGAGCTTGATTGTCAGATAATGAGAGATGTTGGGAAGGGAGTTGACGTTCATTGAAGTTGAAAAGGTTTGTGAAGAAGTCAAACTCAAGCTCATTGCCTCAGATGCATTAGTAATGTTGAATGCCAAAGCAAGTTTCAATGACTTGGCTCTGATACCAAGTTAAAGCTTAGAGAAAGAGAAAGACGGGATTCTGGAAAGAATGGGTTGAAAAATCTCTCATCGATTCAAGTGTACAAAGGTATTTACATACAAAACAATGACAAATAAATTTGGAAGATAAATACAAAGATAGAGACATGTAAACAAAGCAATAGCCCAACTGAGTAACTTCCTAAGGAAGGAAGAAGTTTTCTCTTTAATCTAGTTGGTCTTTCTATAGTAACCACTCTATCTTCATGAGTTTTCTCTATAGTAACCACTTTATCTTTAGTAGGAGTTCTTTCTATAGTAACCACTCTATCTTTAGTAGGAGAGCTAGAACTGGTCGATTCCTCAATATTGGTGATCAAAAGGGTACAAGTGCTTGCACATTCCATCTTGCCAGGTGTATGTATCTCGTCACGTACAAGTCCATGAGGAAGCATTCTCCTTCCACACCACTTCATCATCCCCTGCACCTCTAGTTGTTGTGCATGCATATCAGATTGGTCCTCCTATTATTTAACACAACCCATCGATACTAGTTCCCATCACACCACCTGCTGAACCACAATTGCTAGACCCAGCTATGTCATCCTCATCATCATCATGAGATGCCACTCTTGCTGCACCCTTGGATACTATGTCCAAGTTCTGTTGCTTCCCTACCTCCCTCCTATTATCCATAGCTCGCTACAAAGCACGCCTTGTAGCACGTGGCTTCATTCAACGAGTTGGTCTTGACTATATAGAAACTTCAACCCTGTCATTAAACCAACCACAATTAGGGTGGTCCTCACTCCTCAGCCAGATTCATATATAGAATGCTTTTCTCCCCATGGGACTCTAGAGGAGACCATATTCATGAAACAATCACTTGGTTTCTCTCACCCTGATTTTTGCTGACATGTATTTCACCTTCAAAAGTCCCTCTACGGACTCAAATAAGCTCCCCAAGTTTGGTACCACAACTTGATGTCCTTAGGGTTTCTTCTCATCCTCATATTGTTGATGATATTATGATCATTTACCAGCTTCAGTAACAAGGCCATTCAGACTTATTTCCTCTATGAGTGAAGAAAAGATTTGGGTTCCCTAAATTATTTTTTGGGTCTGGAAGTGCAGCATGACCCCACTGGTGATCTCTTCCTCTCTCTCAACAACAGTATGCCACTGATTTCTTTCTTAAGTGCAACATGGATGGTGCTAAGCCAGTCAACACTCCCATGGTGTCCACTTGTAAACTCATCGAAGAAGATGGTAAACCCCTTCCCCATCAATTGAGTATCGTCAAACGGTAATTGCCCTCCAATATCTTACTATGACTCGACCGGACATATCCTTTGTAGTTAAAAAGATTTGTCGGTTTATGTAAACCCTTACCTCTGAGCACTGGCTTGTCGTTAAGCAGATTCTCCGTTATTTGAAAGGCACTCTCTCTCATGGTATTCACTTCTCTGTAGCTCCATCTTGCACTCTCCATGCTTACTCTAATGCTGATGTCCAGATGACAGACGCTCATAGGGTGGTTTCTGCATTTACATGGGGCCTAACTTAATATCCTGGTCCTCTAAGAAGCAAGCTATAGTCTTACGTTCCAGCACATAGAGTGAGTACCGCAGCCTTGCCTGTGCCACTTCTGAATTGGTATGGTTGATGGGGCTGTAAAGGATAAGGAAGAGAACCGATTGCTCTCCCCAACTGAGTCGTGGCTCCCTCCAGATAATCGTGTATCCTAGAATAACTTGCACTGTAACTCTATCCTGTACAACTCCCCTCACCAATCACAATTTACCAAGTGTACATACCAGCTATAACTGCACATTGTAGACAATGCCATACACTCGATGAAGCTAATCATCGGTTGAGAGTTTTCTTCAAGTTGAGTTCTGAAATCTGAATTAGTCTTTAATACTTCTTTTTCTCCATACAAGGCGCTCATATTACTTGTATACATTGATGACATCCTAATAATTGGGTCTGCCATCTCTTCTTTCAATTCCTATGTAGACCTATTCATGGGCCGGGCTTGGGTTTGGCTTTTGCTAAATTTTGAATGGGCCCAAGCCCGACACGTGAACAGGTCTATTCCTAAGTATCTTCCTAGTTTGCACTGTGAGACCTTGGTCCTATATTTTTTGGGCATAGAGATGCTTTGCTCACCTAAGGGTGTTGGCTTGTCTCACCACAAATATGTGCATAATTAATTTGCTTTTTGTTTGGGTTTACATGCAATGGGCCAAACCAATTGGTAACCCCCAGGTTTACAACTACTCAATTTACCTCTATTAAGGCTCAGTTTGGAAGGAGTACAAATACAAATTTATAGAATGTAAAACCTTGTATTTTGTATTATTTTGTATGTATTTGCACTGTGCATATTTGTATTTGTACTCTTTCCAAACTGAGCCTAATGTGAGATTTTGTTTGAAATGGACATTAGTTGATTACCTATGATTTATTCATGCCTTCTTCTCATTCAATGTCCCTATGGTATTTCCTTTGGTCCCAACTTGGTATAGGAGTTCTCAGAAGCAAACCACTACTATTTCCAATTCTAGTACCAAGTAGAATTTAGGTGTCTTGTTTCCATGGTTGCTAAAGTTGTATGGACACAAAATACTTTTCTCTGAAATTGGTTTCCATCTCATAAACCAGCTGTTCTTTGGTGTGATAAAATTGGATCTAAGGCTGTGTTTGGTTGCAATGCAAATAAATTTGCACTGATGCATAATTATAACAGTGCAAATGTTTTGAGTGTAAATTCTGACTTATTGTTGTTTTAAATTTTAGCTTATTTTGTTTGATAAAAAATTAAGACATGAAGTGGAATAAAGTAAAACCCATAACAAAAATTAAACTTGAATTTGCATTTTTTTTATTTGCACTCCTATGCATATGTACTAGTGCAAATAAAATTGCACTGCAACCAAACACAACCTAAGACTCAGTTTGGAAAGAGTATAAATACAAATATGTATAATGTAAAAATACAGAAAATAATACAAAATACAAGGTTTTGCATTCTACATATTTGTTTTTGTACTCCTTTCAGTTGGGAAAGAGTGCAAATACAAATATGTATGGTGCAAATATAAAGATTAGAAATAAAATATACAAGATTTTGCACTATACATATTTATATTTGTACTTTGAGCCTAAGGGTCTGTTTGGTTCGCAGTCATAATTGGAATCAGAATCAGAATCGGAATTGGAATGGTCCACTCCCATAGTCTGTTTGGTTCAGATAGGAATGAGAATGGGAATTAAAATCAGCAGGAATGGGAATTCATTCCCAAGAGAGAGGCAAGGAATAGCCATTCCCTCAAATGGGGTAATGCCATTCCAGCAGGAATGGAAATGTAATTCTGATTCCATCCAACCAAATTGTTGGAATCAGAATAACCCATTCTGATTCCAATTCCAGACCCATATTCCCACGAACCAAACAGAGCCTAAGTATAATATGCTAGAACATAAACATATTGAATTGGATGTTCAATTCATTAGTAAGAAAATTGCAGTCAATTATCTTATTGTACAGTACACTCTCTAGCAAAGATCAAGTGGCTGATATACCTTCCAATCTCCTGTCTTCATCGAAGTTCTCTCTTCTTACTTCCAACCTCTACATTTGCAAGGTCCTATTGTATCGCAGGGGGTTAATTAGCATTGAACCAGGCCCAAAGCCCACCAATTGGACATATTACGAGCACGTTGCATGGGCTAGTTAGGATGAACCTCATGACGTAATCTGCTATTAGGATCAGTATTTTCAAAATTGGACCAGACTGGATGGTCAGACCGAAAAAACTGGGAACCAGTCACCATTTCACCCCAAAACTGCTTTTTGGCCAAAAACTGTTGATTTGATCAGTGAACCGCTCTGATCTGGGCAGTTGAACCATCAACCTGGATAACAGCTTTTGGCTGTTTTTTTTTTTTTGTTAGAGATGGGTTCCGTTCAGACCATTTGACCCAGGGGTTCTCTGTCTGATCCGGTTTTAAAAACCTTGATTAGGATAACATTTATAACAATTATCCCATTGTTGTAATCTTTCTATTGTTTGTTTTTATCTTGTTTTTGAATGTCAAACACTGCTAACCGACTATGCTTATCTTGTACACACATATATACAAGGATAAGTCGATACAAAGAAGACTTTTGTTTCCTCACTCAACCCCCCAACTGAACCACCACCAGTTGGTGATCCTTCAAAAATCTCTTACTCTGAGCTTACTCTGGCCAATTGGTCCTTGCTAATATAACATGAGCTTATTCTGGTCAATGGTCCAGAGGATACAAATTAATTCTAATCTCACAGCTCTGATCCGTGCTTCCATTGCCCAAAGTTTGGTAATTTATAGGCAAAGCAAGTAACACGCAATTCTATGTCCTATTTAACTAATCAATGTTGAAACAAATGAGACCTTGGGCTGAGCCAGTGACCTGATTGTATGTTGCAATTCTCAATCATTTAGTGTGATTTGGCTTTGTATATTTGACTGCATTCAGTGTCAAGAATGTATTGAGAGTGGGAGAGAGAATGATTTAACTGGTACACTCGAATGCTGTGTTCAGTTAATTAAAAACAGTCATCGTGTTAAAGGAACATTTAAAACAGTCAATGGCTACATATTAGCAGAGACCCCATATTCAGGGAAGCAGAACAGTTTGCTGGCCAACAAAGAAAACAAGAAAAGAGATATAGAGAGACTAATATAATTCACCTTCATGTCAAACATACAAAGAATTTGTTCTCACGTTCAAACACTTGACTTGGAGACTTCCTTTAGAGCTTTCAGAATCTGATCAGCTGTTGCTCCACTATTTACATAGGTGATAAATGGGCTTTCCCTAGGAACAATGTCATCCTTCATGTAGCTTCCCGTTGTTCTTACAAATTCCTCGGAACCTTTCTCCACTATTCCTTTCATGATCACAGTCCTATGGATTCCAGATATTAGTTCTTCATAATCTGTGTCACCTGCTTCACCGGCAAAAACATACATGTTTGCAACTTTCAAACCCCACCGAACAAAGAGGTACCTAATGGCATCATAAACCAAGAAGGAAACATGATTCAGAGATGTAAAATGCATTTGGTGGGTGCTTTCTTTTTCATATTCATTTATCAGGATGAAAGACATGAACAGATATCACCTTACATATCTTATTGAGGACAAAAAGAAGAGAGGGGCATTGAGAGGAACAATTTTTCCTTCTTGATTCTGATAAGGACAAGAAAAGGTTAAATAGGTCTAAACCCTATGTATTAGTATAAATAGCTTTTTTTTTTCTTTTATGCTTTAGAGGACCATATCTATTGTGGCTTGTTTTCTCTTCTCATCTTATGTTTACATGTTGTCTTTTTTGTGGTTATAGGCTCGTAAAAACTATAGGTTGCACTGCTAATATTTCTTTTATATACAAAAGAATAATGAATAAGATAGATAATATATCAAGGTGGCTTGCAGGTTACAAATTATTCATTAAACAATTAAGATGGTAATGGTGTCTTTGTTGGTTGCTGCACTTAGAATTATTCTAAGAAGAGTATCTTGGAGGAATTTTCCTTTCATAGTTTTATATCTTTATTAGTATACTCTAGTGTAAGGGCATGTGCTATGCACACGTGCAAGTAGAGGGTAAAGATACAAGTTATACATTTATAATCAAATTTAACTTTTATGACCAGCACCAAAACCAAGGCAAGTATTCAGTTTATAGTAGTATAGATTTCTGTATTTGAGGATGTCTTATCTTCCTTTTTATACATATAAAAGTTCCATGCTTTGATAAACTATTTTGGTTATCAATTAAAGAAAGATATATTAGAATCTATTTATGAACTTTTTTTTACCATTAATACTCCTCTCTCCATGACTTTGAAAAATGGACCTAATTTTCTAGCACAGCACAACCAAGAGGCAGCCACTTAGTTATTCAATTTAGAGTGGATACCCCTATACCCCTTTCCGCACCCTATATCAGTGTCCATATCTGGAGAGACATGACTAATTTGCACAGAAACAGTCTCGTTAGAAAATTATAGAAGCACCAAGTTTAGTGTCTAACATGCTGTTGGAGAGTTGGAGTTTGTCATTGAGTGGTTATTCTGATATAAGCCAATGAAACATGTTTTGGTTCTTGGACACGGTAACCCTAGAAAGCTGATATAGATACTTCTTTAATCAAGTAACAAGATGTAGGTCATAAAATATTTAGTAAATAATTAAACACATGTACCTTAAAGCCTGAGATCGAGATGCGAGAAGAGGAACAACTTGCATTCTTGTTGAGTTCCTACAATACATTGGATGGCATCGAAGCCCACGCATTCTGAGCTTTTGCCTCAGATCATCCACTCTCTTTGCCTGAAATGTTGAGTCACCATGAAAAGAAAATGTAAAGAAAACCATAAATTTTGTTATACACCACTGACACTTTCATTTAAGATTATATGTACCTTGCTGGGATCTTTAATCAAATATGAGATGCAATGTGAATTGCTTGCCTTCACATCTTCCTCAATGGAACTTGAAAATTTATCAGATTTATTCCCTCTACCTTCTTGTGAGTTCATCAGTCTCCAAATAGTCTTGTTTAGGCCATCACGACCCCAGCGATAGTCGATATGGGATGTGTAGTCAGGATCTGGACATAACTTTCCAACATCTTCTGTGTAAGTACCTGGATAGTAAACTTCACTGCCACTACTACATATCAGAGCATCAAATTCAGTTACTTGAATCTTCCCTGATTTTAAAAATAATATCGCCTCATGCACTGGCATAGCTGTTGACAAAGCAAATCCTGAGAATCTTGAGATTTGAGAATCTGACCTCACAGCCTTGAATATCTCACGTACTGCCTGAAAAATCTTACTGTCAGCAACTCCCTTGCTGTCATAACTGTCAAGTGCTATTACAAATAATCTCCGCCTTCGTCTAAGGACTGGATACTTGCTCACTACACTCTCGGGCTGTTTCTTTCCCCCATCTTCATGTGCATCTGATGTTGGTTTCTTTATCTTGCTCAAGATTCTTTTTACTTGATCTTGTACAGGATCACCCTTGATTGCTGCTACTTTCTCTAATTCAGCAGGATCATACTCCAGGGAGCCATTGAATGAATACTTTTCCCCATCAACAGAAAGCCTCAGGGACATGTCCTGCACATCCATAGAGTCTCCAAAGGACTCTTCCACAGCCATGTCATCATCCATTGGGGTGTCTGTCTGCCATTGTGGATGTCTCATCCTACAAGCTGCCACCCTTGTCAAGTATGTGCGACAGTGTTCAGGCCACGAGAATAGGTGTATATTTTTCCATCCATTCCTCCTGCATTCATGCCATAGATTCTTTTCTGCAACTAGTTTAAGAAGTGCATCAGCAATGGCTTGTTGATCATGTGGGTCCACAAGCAACCCATTGTTCAGTGCCTAAGCCAAAGAAATTAAAAGGAAACTGTCATGCAGGAAACCAAACCATTTGGCATGATACCCACTAACCATTCTTATTTCATTTCTTACATCAACAACATGGGAAAACAATGATTGCTAGAAAATTGGCCATAGCATTCATCTTGAGGCTTAGGTGAGTTAATTGCATGATTGATCAGAAATGAGTAAACAAGGGTAGAAACTCTCCTTGAGATCAAATATTGACCTAACTTCGTTTTCATTGAATATGTAAATTGTAGAAAAATTAATCAAGTTCATGTCTAACTGCAAGTGTTTTGTTAAAATACACATACAGGTGAACTAATGTAGTATCAATGCCTAAATTTTTGAGAACTGATTAATATACAACTATGGACAAAAGACATGCCATGTTTATATATATGGTATATGTGATGTAATTGTTCTTCCATTCTCCTCAATTTAGTATTTTATTCTGACATCATATCAGCTTAATAGTATCAAATAACTATCATTTTGAACTAAAATGGTGCCAGATATGTACTTTAAATGCCAACATTTCAAACCCACATCAGTGAAAATGGGTAAAATTGTTTTTACCTGATGGATGTCAACTGGACCGCCATTTTTAGTGGCCACCATTGGAAGCCCATGTGCTGCTGCCTATGTAAAATCAGGCCATTATGAGCAAGAGTTTTGTTTTATAAAAAGGATTATAAGATGAAGAAACATAGATTATGATTGAATCCAACCTCAATTAAGGTAAGGCCAAAAGGCTCAACCAAAGCTGGATTGATGAAGACTCCCTGCCATGTTTTCCAACCACTTTGCTGCTCAGAATAGGTTGAAATTGGAAAAAAAATATAGTTACAAATAACTATCAATATAAACATACCTTTGTTTTTGCTGCTAGGCGGTAGATATCTGGAACATCAGATTGTTTGTGATGTTTTGGGTAGGCCACAAGCCCATAGAGGTCATACTTATCAATCAGCTTTAATACTGTTAAAAGCACATTAGCATTACCTGACGACATTTCATCTATGTTATCCCTATTCCCCATTATGAGTGTCTGCACAAGCATATTAACTCTATGTCATTATTTTATCCAAGGGGATAACTAAAGGTAACTGAAGTTGACTACTTACAAGGTTGGCAAGATCTCTTAATGGACGACATTCCCCGAAGGCTTTCAAAAGTGTGGTAATGTTCTTTTTTGGATCTGGTCTTGATAAAGCCAGGATCATTGGCTTGTGGGGATTTGCAAGGAAGCGCATTATCTGTGGAGACATTTCTTCTTTGTCAAAAAAAATGATATGCAAAATAGGACTAATGAGAAGATCAAATGGTTGTACAAGTGGCTTACTTCAGACCATATAGGTGGGACTGCCCTTGGGGAAGAGCCATCAGCACCAATAAGTGATGTAAGTTCCGCATCAGCTTCGGACATGTCCTCTTGAACCAGACTGCTAAAGTCCATGCCAGGAGGAATGACCTGAAGATATCATGTCTTTATCATCAATGCTTAACTTCCTTTTTGCATCAGTACATGTTATTTCACAAAATTAAATATCACATCCAGATATGATAACCAGAAACCTGTACATGTCTAGCATACTGGTGTTGGATACAATACATATGTAATATGACAACAAATGCATGAAGATTTCTAGGATTTACTTTGTACCATTTAAACTTTTAAAATATTTAAGATTTTAACAAATCATATCATACTACTAAAAAAAAAAATCTTATGTGTAACTTCCAATTAAATAGACAAGATATATGTTTTGCAAAATGACATTTAGCTTCAAGAAGTATATACAAAAACATGATATAATGGGGATGCCTTATCCATATTCATGTCTAGGATCTTAGGAAATGAAGATCATATTATCTGTTTCTTTTACCTATGTATCTTTTGGTATTCATATTTTTCCTTATTATACAGGACCTTCTCCAGGATAAAGAAAAAAGTATAGCGTTATAAAGAGGAAAGGTTGAGAAGTTGTAGATATGGCACTTACCACCATCCTTGGCATGTAACGGCCATGGCAATTGACCCTACGTCTGGTACGGGCACGCAATATCTTCTCCAGCTTGACATCAAAACCATCATACAATCCCCACTGTTCCACAATCTCTTGCTTGGTACTTGTGATTACAAGTTCAGCAGCATCAAGGGAAAGCTCTTCTGCTTCTATACGCCGCATTATCTTGTACGTTGAATTGATGTCCTCTTTTGATTGGCGTCCCTGCTTAAGAAGCTGTTCTAACTTGTTCCTTCCAAGTGAGTGTCCTGTAAGAACCATGGGTACATTCAAGGCTCCAGAAAGAAGTGCAGCACTATCTCCAGCATCTGCATAATGGCCATGAATCACATAAGGCCAAACAGGCTGCCCTCTACCTATCTGTTCTCCAAGTACCTTAGACATATTAAAAATATGGGCCAGGGCTCCATCTACAAACTCTTGAATATATGGCCACAGTAACTCTTTGCTAAGGTATTTATCCCGTGGACCAAATGGTATCCTTACAATATAAGCCCCACTGCTCTCTCCTATCTCATTTCCCTCTGCATCTTCAGAGCCAAGAGTTAACATCTCTGTGGGCTCTCCATAACTCCAATCCACATCTGGTGAGGATATTTGGCGAGTGAAGAGGTCTACCCTGTATACCCCAGGCATCATGGCAAGTGCTCGGGCAAGCTCCACCACATATTTGACCTGGAATTTCAGCCATTATATATGTTAATCAGAAACATGTATCTGACAGTCCTTCACAAGGTTATCTTGGACAAACTGGCAACCAGTGCCATAATCTAGTATAGAAGGATATCTTAGTTACCTGGCCACCCGTATCAGAATCTCGACCAAGCTCCATGTTTTCTCCCCGGACCAAGCCATGCAAACTGGCCAAGAAGATGAGTCACGATTACAGACTCTAATATAAATTTGAACTTAGATCCATTGAAAGCCAGCTATGTAGCTGTATTCATAAACAATTAAACATAACTTATTTTCTCAGAATGACAGTGCTTGGACAGATCATACGTCATCACAGGAAAACTTGTGAGCTAAACCAAGATGAATAAGTATATTAAAATGGGAGATACTTTATTTATCCTTAAAAATCTCGATCTATATTTATATGTATAAAGAGAAAATTATGATTATTTTGGTACCACAGTTTTCCTAATAAATGTTTACCTGATAAGGACAATATAGAGTCTCTTCCCCTTGTTGTCATCAGACCACACTTCAATGTTGGAGGAATTTCTCTGGAACTTCTTCTTTGGTGTCTCACACTGAATCACCTCCCCCACAGTGTCTCCTTTTTCTCCCTCAGAAAGATCTTCAGACATGTCTTCAGTAACATCCATGCGTCCCTGCTCCCACTCCCACCTCCTATTTGCCAACCGTTGGAAATCTTCCCATTCCAACTACACAATCACCCAAAAGAACCATATTCTCATGCTTGGAATTAATTTGTTGCAATAGATTAAAGTATTGGTGTTGCATTGTATTGTACTATATTGCTAGGGAATGCCAACATTGTAATAGAATACCGTATGCATTTACATATGATTCTTGCAATTTTTCTGTTCATTGAATGGCAAAGCATGCATCCAATCTTAGAAATACTACTACCTAGTTTCTAACTCCTTTATTCCTTGAAGGTTTTATCAGAAAGGAGATGCAGACCAAGGATTTTAGTTCAACGACGTCAGCCTTAGGGCTTTCCTAAAAAGTAGGAATATATTCTTTTCACCAGTTTATTATTATTATTATGTTGAGCTCTCATCTATTTCCTAAACATTAGAACTTCATAGGAAATCCCATGAGCCTACCTGTTTAAATTCAAAATAGAACACAGAAAAAAAAAATGCAAATAGGCACAACACTTAATAAACTACTGACAAAAAATAAAATTAATCATTTCTTTCACTTCACTAATTACAAGTCTTCTGGAGTTCTATGAAATAGAAATAGAAACTATACAATTAAAGTTTCCTACCAAAAACATCACCATGTCTGGTTTTGCTTTTGATAAATTCTTGGCATGGTATGCACAACATATTACAAAAACTTTTTTAAAACTAATTTTGAATCCATACATTTGAAAACTTTATTTATTTCACTAACCAATATATTTTCCTTTGAGTCTAACAGAACAGTGCATTTCTAGTTTAAAATAAGATTTTTGAGTGCAACCAGAATACAAAGAAGAATTTTCTTCTCGGATAAAAATAATAGTTTTTTTTTTTTTTTTTTGTGTGTGTGTGTGTGGTGACTCTCGGCAAAATACATATAATGTAAATACAGAAAGAATTCCCCTTTGGTATGTTGAAATTAGAAAAGAACCAATTAAAAACAATGTTCTAAAATTCCATTTTTTTCATTAACTATTACCACTTTCCTTYGATTATAACAAACCAGAGCAATTCCATGTTAAAATAATAGAAAAGAAAAAAAAAAGAACAATTGAAAATAATGTCTTAAACAACCATATTTTAGTTCACCCATCTAAAATTCTTCCATTGAAGTATTACAACCTTCCTCCTTGACTCTAAAAGCATAGAACATTTCTTGCTTAAAATAATAGTCTCTGATATAAATATTACACAAACAAGAATTCCGCCATAACAATTAATCAGTACTTGATACAGCATTTTAAAACCCAGAAGATTCCATTCCTCTTCTTTCGGAAGTAACCCGGACTATTTCTATAAACATAACATTTTTAATCAAAACAAAATTCAATAAAGGGATCAATAGCCACTGAAACACGAAACAAACCAAAAAAAAAAATTATCATAGATAGATAGATCAAGAGATAGATATGACGAGCTGGGGACCTGCTTCTTCTTGCGGGCGAGATGCCAAATGCGCCAGCACATGTTCTCTAGCCGGGAGCTGCGTTCACGCGTGTTGCGGGTGGCAGCAACCTGGATCCAGGTTCGATGGAGATCGGTTTCATCGACCCCTGTGACCACCTCCTCCACAAAGTACTTGGTGGGATTAAAATGGCCCCTCTCACGTAGGTCGACTGAGATTGGCTTCTGGTCTTCAATTGATCCTGCCCCGGAATCAAGAATTGCCTCCAAGTACCCATTGATCCATTCGTTCCCCGCCATGTCTAAGAGCCAAGAAAATCAGAGTTTTTATTAAACAAGTCCTGTTTTAGTTGTAAAAGCAGAGGAGGGCTTATTGCAGGTTTAAAATCCTACAATGCTTGTTCCTGTATCCTGTTCATAAAACACACAGACAGAGAAGGATTGATGAAGAAAGAAGCTGAAATCCAATCTGGGTTTTCGTTTCTCAATGAGATTGAATAAAAAAAAATCCAGTGGGATTAATTCAAAATTTGTTAAAAAGAGAGTTGTGATATTCTCTATCTAGTAGAAGGCTGTTAACTTTTGATTGCAAATGCAGAGCGCGTGTGAGTTTGAGCCTCGGAAGGAGAGAGGTCGAGGCGTCGAGCAGAGCCTGAGAAGAGCCACGTGGAGAGAAACTGGGGCCTCTTACGACTTGTCAGAGGATCTTTCCTTTTGAAGATCATCGGCACACGTATCATAGCATGATAGCTCGTTTTTTCTATTTCCAAGGTTGCCCGGTTCCCTTTGCGATCTCATCGCTCTGCCCGTATCTCCTGTTTATTTGCAACCTCTCAGACTTAGAGTCTCGAACCTGGGCGGGCCCAACTCGAACCCGATCCGATTCATTCCGAGTTTTTGTACGGTTTGGGCTTAAATTTTTGGGTTTCGGGTTGGGTTTGGGTCCGAAAATACAGGCCTCATGGCTCATGATCATGCATCCAGCCCAGTCTGACCCGACCTGACCCGAATTTGCTCAACATTGTGTAATATATAAACTTAGCTACATATCAATATATGTACCCTTTATAGTGAGTGGTGGTTTGTCACTTTAAACTACCAAAAATTGTAGATACCCTCCCAAACTTTTACAAGTGTGTATAAAAAAAAAAATCTTCCATCAGCTTTCTATTAAGAAAATGAACGGAAAATGGTCATGTATGTATCATGTGATCCATTAAAATTTTCAAAATGCCTAAATTACCCTTATTAAGGGCTTGTTTTCTACTTTTCATCTTTTGCTTATTTGGGGGTGAGAGGCTTTGGTTTTGCAACCTAACAATACTTAATGACCTAACCTAGCTCTATGCTTGTAGATGGTGATAAGGTTTTTTGAGGTTGTCTGTGGCTCAAGAATTAACAAGACTAACAAGAGAAAGAGGAGGAAGGAAAAGAAAGGAACGCCTCAAAGGCAAAGGACACCAGTTGTATTCAGTGTTTGAAAATCTATTTGTTATACATGGCTTGGCTTGGATTATATAATGATGAGAGAAAGAAACATTGCAACTTTTCTGGTGCCTAAGAACATTTTGCCAAAATGGATAAATAAAAGGGTGGATGGCATAAGACAACAAGCATGGTATCAAAAAGGAAAATGGTGGTTAATTAACAGCATCTAATATGTGATCTGGCTGTCAGGAGATTGCTCAGTGAGATATCCATTGGTGGATCAATTTTGTGTCTACTGCCTATTAGGAGACAACTGCAAAATGCTTGTAGTTGGCAAGTAAGTACAATGACTCAAATGTTGGTGCTTGTTTGGATGCCATAGAAGTTTTATCGAACATACTACTTCCCATTTTAGTTAATACATAGTGATGTTTAGTTATCTCTTGTTATTTTTTATAGTGGAATTCTACTTCCCATTTTAGTTCTCTCTTGTTATTTTTTTCTATGAATGAAATTAAAGGTTAAGAACTTTCATGCAATGGTGATTAACCAATTCAAAACTTCCATTGGAACACTACGTTTAGATTTAGGGGGAACGTTTTATGATGAAGAATTTTGTGAGTTTTATACATATTTGAAAACTCATGGAATTCAATCCCTAAGGTCTTGCCTGGATATGTCACAACAAAATGGAGTGGCTGAGTGCAAAAATGGTCATGTTGTGAGTGTTTAATCATCTTCCTTCTTCTATTGTGAATAACTCTTCTCATTTCAGTGTTTGTTTCATCATTCACCTGATTTTTCTATACTTCATTTTTTTATATATTTATTTTGTATACTTGCCTCTTCATGAACATACTAAATTATCTGCTCAATCTATTTTGTGTGCCTTTGTGGGTTATAGTTCTGACCACAAGGGGTTGTTGTGCTATAATCCTATTATTCATCATACCCACACTTATCATAATGTTATTTTCCTAGAAAACATGTTGTACTTTGCACATATCTTTAAGTTGTCTTCTCCGTCATTTTCTATATATATTACAAGATTTTGTGTTTGCAAGTTCCTTTTGAGTTGTCCTCATCACAATCACAATAGATTCTACTTGTCTATCACCATTGGAAGCAACCAATTGTTCAAGGCCCTATGCCCTTGCCCTCCTTAACACTAGATGCTATTGATCCTCCTTTAGACATTTTAAGTACTCCACCTTTTAATGAGTCTATTGCTTCTTCTATTCCTCCTCTGTCTTGTTCTTCTAGAATTTTGAAACCATCTAACCGCTATTGATGTCCTTTTAACCATAGCTCGATTTTCGTTATTTTGTTCTTTACTAAGATTCCTACAACTCATCAAGTCATGACAATCTCACACTAGAAAGAAAGTATGGACAAGGAAATCAAGGCACTTATCTTGAAAATGATATCTAGGAACTTGTTACTCCTCTTACAGATGACTCTACTATTGGTAGGCATTGTGTATATTTAGTTACGCTTAACTCTAATGGAAGCTTAGATAGGTATAAGGTCCATTTGGTTTTATGGGGTTACAAAGATCATGGTATCAATTATGACAAGGCCTTCGCTCCTTTTGCAAAATTGACTACATTCAAATTACTTGTCACTATTTCTGTTGTGAAAGATTAGGAGATGCACTAGATGGACAAGAATGTTTTTCTTCATAGACATCTTAAGGAGATTGTTTAGATAAAACAATCTCTTGGCTGTTCTTCTAACCCTCACTTAGGTGGCGTTTGGTAACTCTTTTTAGAGGTCTAACGTCTGAAATGTCTACTTTTCAGACGCCAGGCTCATTTGGTATTACATCTGAAATGTTTTTTCAGATCTGACATTGTAAGACCCAGGCCCGTCACTTAACGCGCTCAAACGCATTTCAGACGTGGCCTAAAGTAAAAAATACTCCTATTTTAACTCGATAAAAAGCCCCATTCGATCTCTCTCTCTCTCTCTCCCCCGTCTTCCCTCCATCTCTACTGCAACTCTCAACAGCGATGGTTCTATAGAATCCTTTCATCTTCTCATTTAGAGTTCCTTCAAATCCGATAGCCAAAATCCCTCTTCGAAAGGAAGAATGTCTTCGAACTCTCTCTCTCTCTCTCTCTCTTCGTCTTCCCGTCACCGCCCATCTTGCAATGTTGTAGAGATAATCTTCCACACTAGCTGGTCACTGAAGGCATTCTTTGGCCGAATCGAGATGATCTTCAAGGTTCAAAATCTGTCCAAGACAGTTTCAAGGTTTGAAGAGTACATAGATATTGTGAAGGCTCGTGCTAGATCCGGTAGTCTGAGCAGCAATAATGGTGGCAATAGAATCAGAGTCTGCCCAAGACTGTTTTGAGGTTTCAAGGGCAGTATTGCCTTGTTTTCTAATCATCTATAAACTATAACGAAGTAACCAAGATCAAAGAAAAAAATGTTCCTGCATTTATCAACTCTTGTTTTTGCCTTTCTTTGTTTTTCTTGGATTTTAAGAAGAATTTTAAGTTGATAAATGCTTCAACATTTTGTTACTCTTTTTCTTTTTCAACTCTCTCTCTTCCCTGTCTTCTCGCCACCGCGCTGCAACTCTTCGCAGCGGTGGTTCTCTCTCTCTCTCTCTCTCTCTCTCTCTCTCTCTCTCTCCCGTCTTCCCACAACCACCACTACAACTCTCAACAGCAACAGTGGTTCTTTCCAATTTTATTCTTATTTTAATATATATTTTTATTTTTTATAAATTATATTTGTATTAATTATTAATTATTTATTTTTTATTAATCAATAAATATTTTAATAGTTTTAAGATATTAAATTTGTTTTATTGTTTCATGGTCTTTATTACTATTTTCATTATTATTTTAACTCATAATAATTTATTTTTAATTTATAAATTGATATGTATTTTTCAATTTTATTCTTATTTTAATAAATTATTTTTTTTATTTTTATAATTTACTCATAAATCTTAATACTATTTTGAATTTAATAAACTATTTTATGAAATAATGCAAATTAAACTCAAAATTACTAAATAGTCCATTTTAGGGGTAAAATAGTAAAATCAATGAATTTCAAATGTTGAAGGTTTGATCCAAAACAAACAACCTTCTTTATTCAAAGCCTCTAAAAATTCAAAAAACAACTATGTCTCTTTTCAGATTTTAGACACTTTTAATATCTTTTTAACTTTTCAGATTTCAGATTTCAGATTTATCAAATGCCACCTTAGTGTGATGCCTTAAGAAGTCCTTGTATGGCCACAAGCAAGCTCTCTGGTCATGGTTTGAGAGATTTCATAGTGTCAACATTAAAGTAGGATTTTCTCATAGCTCTTTAGATTACCCACTATTAATTCTTAGATGCCCTCAAAGCATACTCCTTTTATATGTTGATGATATTATTATAATTTGCAATGATCAGGTTTACATTGTATGAAATAGTTGCTTATTCAAACATTCTGCATGAAAGATCTTGGATAATTGTCTAATGCTTTTATGTACAAATTTGTGGGCAACCTAATATATCTCATTATGACACAAGGCCTTTTATCACCTATGCTATTCAAGTTGTTAGTTAGTTTGTTTCCTCACGTCGACAACATCATCTATGTGCAATGTTCTGGATCATTCAATATATTCATGGAACTTTTTCCCATGCCTTGTGATTTTTGTCATCATCTTCCACCTAGCTCTCAGCCTATGTTGATGCCAATTGGGCAAGGTGTCATGATACTTGGAGATCAAATACTTGTTGGTGTATCTTCTTTGGTGTATCCTTAATCTCCTAGAGGTGCAAGAAGCAACAAAGTGTCTCTAAGGGTCTGTTTGGTTCATAGTCAGAATTGGAATCAGAATCGGAATCGAAATTCTCTTGAATCGGAATCGGAATGATCCATTCACATAATCTGTTTGCTTCAAACAGGAATGGGAATGGGAATGAAAATCAGTAGGAATGGGATTTCATTCCCAAGGGAGGGGCAGGGAATGGCCATTCCTTCAAATGGGGGAATGCCATTCCAACAGCAAGGTGTCCTGATACTTGGAGATCAAATACTTGTTGGTGTATCTTCTTTGGTGTATCATTAATCTCCTAGATGTGCAAGAAGCAACAAGGTGTTTCTAAGGGTCTGTTTGGTTCATAGTCAGAATTGGAATCGAAATCGGAATCGAAATTCTCTAGAATCGGAATCAGAATGATCCATTCACATAATCTGTTTGGTTCAAACAGGAATGAGAATGGGAATTAAAATCAGTAGGAATGAGATTTCATTCCCAAGGGAGGGGCAGGGAATGGTCATTCCCTCAAATGGGGGAATGCCATTCTAGCAGGAATGGGAATGGGATT